GATTTAAATGATTTCTCCAAATTCTCATAAGCAGTAAATAGAAAAGCTAACTCCAATACAGCACTAGAATTATTTCATGATCTTTTTTTTTCTTCACAGGTTCTTTTCTTTCCACATTCAAATATGTTCAAGTTTTTTTATATCTTCTCTTGACCCTCCAATATTCCCATATCTTCAATTGCCTACTTATTCATTTCTACTGTCTCATTAAACTCAATGTTTTCAAAACCAAACTTATTATTTTCCTTCCCCTCCCTTTCTACCAATAAAACTTGCTCTCCAGGTTAGAAAGTTTCATGGCATCTTTATTTTACTTCTATCTGTTATCCTGCACTCTTGCTTATTGAGCAGTATATCTCCTTTTCCCCTTATTATGAGAGTCCTAAATGATCTTTTATATCACTTTTAATTTTAATTTTTTATATTATGCTATAGCCTCTTTATACCCACCATGCATCTTCTTATTGTATTACCCTTTAGGTCCATTGAAATTCTAAGTGTGTAGTATTCTATGATTAATATCCATATCATGTAACTGGGAGACTACTGGTAACAGTCATATAATCATTTTTCAAATTCCTTCTATTAGTTCCCATTCAATCATCAAAAGTTATTTTCTGTACACTTTTATCAGTTCTATAAACACAAAGTTTTATATATATATATATGCATATATATATATACATATATATGTATATATATATATATATATATATATATATATATATATGCTGTCTTTGATAGCAACATTGACCTGCTATGTGTCTTACTTTATGATTTTTACATGTTTGAAAACTTTTCCCTGTAAGCCTTAAGTCAATAATAAAGTGACACTCAGGTATTCAGCTCACCTAATATCTAGAAGGAATACAGCTCTGTAGTAAGATTCCCTAAAAAAGTTACTTATAGGAGAGGATGGACTTTAGCATGTGGCACCTCAATAGGTCACTAAAAGTGGTGCTTATATTAAAATGGAGGTAGAACTGGCATGTTTCAAAGAAGAACAGTTCAAATTCTCATGGTATATGTCAATGTAGGGTTAGAGCCATAGGAGGACATTAAATAGATGTTCCAGTCTCTCATCCCAGATTTTTTGGGAGCCTGGTACAATCTGAGGTCTGATCTTGATTATCAATCATATCAGGAAGATTCAGCATCAAGCATATAGCAAACCTGTCTCCTTAAGAAGGTCCCTGTAAATCACTCATATGTTAACCTAAGTTTTACAAGTCAATCAAATCAATCAGTCAACCAGCACTGATTAATTATGTTCCAGACAATCTGCTAGGTACCAGTGGTTTAAAGACAAAAATGAAATAGTCCTTGCCTTTAATGGTTTACATTCTATCAAGGGAGGCAACATTCACATATATAAGTATATACAAGACAATTTTATTGGGAAAGTATAAGTAGAGGCATGGGTCAGGAAATTTTTGTCTCATGTAAGAAGTGTAACTTGAGCTGATCTTTGAAGGAAACTAGAGATCTTGGGGTTGGGGGAAGATATTCTAGGCATGAAAGGCACACCTATACAAAGGTATGAAGAAGGAAGATGAAATGCTATGTATGACAAATAGCAATAAGACCAGTGTGGTGTAGGAAAGGAACAATTATATAAGTCTACAAATGGATAGGAACCTGATTGTGAGGATCTTAATGGAGTTTGTATTTGATCCTAGAGCTAACAGAAAGACACTAGAGTTTATTGATCAGGAGAGTGACATAATCAGACCCATGCTTTAGGAATATCACTTAGATAGCTTTATGGAGGATGAATGGAGGACAAAAAGAGAGAGAGAAAGAGAGAGAGAGAGAGAGAGGAGAGAGAGAAAGAGAGAGAGTGAGAGAGAGAGAGAGAGAGAGAGAGAGAGAGAGAGAGAGAGAGAGAGAGAGAGAGAGAGAGAGAGAGAGAGAGATTTGAATCAGGATGACTAATTAGGAAACTATTACAATAGGCCAAGGGATTGGTGACCTAAGGTTTTAGCCATTTGAGAGGTACATAAAGGGACAGATTAAAAGATGCTGTGGAGGTAGATATTACATAATTTGGCAGCTTGTTGCATATCTTGGGTAAGGGAGAGTGAGGAATTGAATGATGACTTTGAGGCTGCAAACATTTTGTGACTGGAAGAATAGGAGTTATTGACAAATTTCGGGAAGCTCAGTGTGGTGGGTTTAGGAGGGAAGGGCATGATGAAGGGTTTTGGTTTTGTTTTGGTTTGGTTTAGTTTGGTTTTTGACATGTTGAATTTGAGATGGTGATGTAATATCTAGTGTTTTTGTCCATTGGATATTTGGTTATGCGGAACTGGAGCTCAGGAAAGAAAATAATGCTAGATATATTAATCTGGCAGTCATCTGTGTAGAGACAGTAACTGAGAAGACAGACAGAGGGGTGGGGGGGAAGCCATGGGTTATGTGCAGGGTTAAATGTTTTCCAATATCTCTGGCACCAGTGGCACAAGTCTGAACAGCCTTCCACAACTAACTATATGTGGAAATATGGGCAAGTCTCTGGGCCTGTTTTCTTATACAGAAATAAAGGTGAAGATTGAGGGGGTAGGCATGGTAGATTGGATTGTCTCTGAGGTCTCCCCCAGCTCTAAAATTCCATGATCTTTTTCTTTGACATGTGACAAATGAAGGAGAAGGCCTTTTGATAAATAGTTTAGCTCCAGCAAAGTGTGACCTATTATGTAAGTTAAGCAGATATGCCCAAGAGCTATGGCAATGAAAGTGTGTTATAATACATAGCTTAATAGTTGGAGAAGGCACCTTGAACACCCTTATGGATTAACTCCAGCATGTATCTGCAGGGGCAAGCTCTCTTTAGCTGACAGCCTGAATGGCATTTGACTATCACTGAAATGAAACTCATAAAAGGAGAGAGAAAAATCTGGAAATGATGATGCAGAGGTTTTAAGATCCTATGAATCTGGAGTAGTCAGGTAACAGGTAATATTATGAGTTCTGGTTGAGGGACATTTAAAAATTTAAATTCTAAATGTTGGTTACTGTATTTACCATATACAAAAATGAAGGATATTGTCCCCAGTCCTCTTAAAATGTTATACTTGGGGACAGTAGGAACTAGCATTTTAGCACATCACCAAGACTTCATTTGCAGAAGATTTCTTTAAACAAATGTGAAGATCTACTGAGCCTGCTCCAAGTACAAGTAAGGCATGGTTTATTTTAGCCACTTGATATTATAATTCTGCTGAAGGTCAACACTATTCAGAGGTAGAGAGCTAAGAGCACGTGTGTCTCTAAATACCATGCCCAGGGCTGAAATTGTGGTTATCATGGAAGCCTTCTCCAAGAATAAACCAAATAGAACATGAGTGGTATATCAATCAGTCAATAAGCATTTATCCAGCACTTCCAAAATATTGGACTTCAGGTTAGGAAAACCTGGGTTCAAGTCTCCCCTCAGATACATACTAGCTTTATGACCACGAGAGTTACATAAACTCTTTGAACCTCAGTTTCCTCATACATAAAATGTAGGTCATAATGTATATAGTAACTAAAAAAAGTTTTTTTAAGGCTCAGATGAAATATGTAAAGTGTTTTGCAAATGTCAAATTACTATATAAATGCTGGTCCTTGTTATTGTCCAAACAATAGAAAAACAAAACAAAACAAATAATACAAAACTGTTCACACTCAGCACCCAAATTCTAAATTGTAGAGTGAATAGGACTAAATTCTGATATCTATTAAATTACAAGGTGTAAAACATTTTGAAAATCCAAATGAATATTCCTTGGATTCTCATCACAGTTTCCAGCTACAAGCTTGCAAAGAAAAATAAGGAACTGAAAATTTGACCCTGGCCTAATAACCTCACAAAGAAGTAAGACCACAAGACCATTTCGCCAGCTCATCTGGCCAACACTCCAATTTGGAAACTGTTGAGCAGTAAGTACCACCTGTTTCATTTTCTTCTAACTGCCAGAAGCAAATTATAGATAGATTATCTCTAAACTCTGAAACTCAAAAGCTATATTAAAAGTGTACTCATTTTTTTCCTAAACAATAGAGGTGAGGTTTTTCCTTCAGCAGATTTCTTCTTTATCAGTAGCCAGGGAATTTGAATTTTTAGAAACTAAACTGTTGTCTCTCTCTCTATTTCGCTCTCTCTCTGTCTCTGTCTCTCTCTGTCTCTCTCTCTCTGTCTCTCTCTCTGTCTCTCTGTCTCTCTCTCTCTCTCTCTCTCTCTCTCTCTCTCTCTCTCTCTCTCGTTGATCTAAAGTAATTTTGTTTTACTATAAAAATATATCATTGAATGTTCAACAGGAATATCAAATATATCAAGACTATTTTGGACTAAGCACATCTTCATGTTTATGTGACTACATAGACAAGGTATTTCAAAAGCCTTAGTACAATTTTCAACTATTAATGCTTTTAAACTATTAATGTTTAAAAATGCACTAAGACTTTTGTATATACTTATATGCACATATGTATGCAGGTATATACATATATGTTTTTATATATGACAAGCTATTAAAAAAAGGGGGTAAAATACTATTTTCATATTAGCTCTGTGTATGTGCATAAATATGTATATGCACACACGTGTGTTTAAAAACAAGGTGTTTTAAAGGATAAATATTAAGCCTAATGGTTTAAGTTTAGCACAAACTCCACCCACTGTCATGGCAGGTTCATACTCAGTCAACTGCTCTCATATTACAGATACATAGCTATTTATAGAACTTGGGGGCAACAAGTTTTTTAACTAGTAGGCCCACTGGCCAGCCCTTAATAGTTCCCCACACAAAGCAAACATATAGAACCCTTCCCATCTCAACCCCACAACAAATTCCCCTGAGGCTCCAGACCCCTACACAATCACAGACAACATACACTACCCTGTGTATTCCAATCTGAAAATGGCAGGGGCCTCTTTCCATCTGTGGTACAACTATTCAGTGCATCTGTCAAATTCTAGATTTCCCTACAACTGTGTTAGAAATTGGTTACAGTACCTTCTGCTGAGATCTCAGTCATGGTGGCAGGGGTGAGTGTTAGTTTAAAAAGGTGCTGTGAAGATGGCAGTCTGAAGAATGCTTCAGGATCCTTGAGCTGGCCCAGCCAGAGGGTGCACTGTTCACTTGTGGGGGGGCCTCTGCTTTTTGCTTGCTGTTCTAGCTGCTTCTTGGGCCTTTGATGAACTTTGGGTCTCTTCTGCACAGTTCTCCCCCTAGAAACAACCTGAGCCCTCTTCTAGGCGGTGACTTCAACTCATACAAAAAGTATCAGCCTCGAACAAAAATAGCGCTGCTTGCCTCCCTCGGACTCTTCAGCAGATCTTTTTTGGCACTGCTGAGACCCCCCCTACACACACATATACACACACGCACAGGAGCACACACACACCAGCTCTCCAGTGCCAAAGGGGGACAACAAAGCCGAGAAAGAGAAAGATCACAGGCACAAACAGATGCACACGTGCTCTCACACAGAAAAATAACTAGGAAGAAGCAGGCAACCCCCCACAGCAATCCCAGGATAATTACAGATCTTTGGGGTCTGTGTCACAGAAAACAAAATGTGTTGAGAGTAACCTTATCCACAGGAGCTCAGGTTTATTCTTAGTGCACTCAATGCCGGGTACATTCTTCCCTTCCTTATTTGGGCTGGGGAGGGTCCCTTGCTGTCTACCAGAGCCAAAGAGGAGGACACTTAGGCAATTCTCTCCAATTTGAGTCCCTGTCTGTCCCAGCTCCCCTTAGTGACTCTATTCATTAATGTAAGGTCACATTTGTCAGTACAGCCACTAAAACCTGTAGCTTTCCCCTCAAGTTAATAGTTTCAGATGGGAGTAAGTGGCTGTTAAATGCTGAAAGAAAATAATGATAATAATAATAATAATACACCTTTTAAAATTTATTTCTGGAAGTTTGGATTCAAAGGGCCTCATTTAATGACCTAGAGGGCCACATGTCATCTTGAGGCCTCAGGTTCACCACCCCTGTACTAGATAATACTGGTGGATCCATGAACTCTAAGTATTTACCTGCAATAAAGAACCTTGCAAAAAACTTAAATCTCTTGCAGCCAGCCATCCTGGCAGAGGGAAGGTGAAAAGAGGGTTACATTCACAAGTAATTCTCAGACTTCACTTTATATAGTAATTTCAAGTTTCTTCTCTCTAGCCCTCCTCCTCCAAGATGATCAGGGCTGCTAATTAGCCAAATTAGCTGATTATATTTCAACTTCCCACCCAGGTTAAGGTGATAATGAACAGAAAAATATTCTAATGATTGATAAATAGAGGTGGGGAAGGAGGCTCAAAGGCCATTGACAATTCTTAAACAATTCCTGAATTCTCAAGTCTTGACAGTCCCAAGTTCTCAACAGTACCTGCGTATGACTTTCATCCTCCTAACCAAGCCAAATTTAGGTTAGCTAACCTTTTTATCTTCAACTTATTGGCTTTTTCTGCTGTAATATGAATATCCTCCAGCTGTGTTGTAGTCTATACATGTGGAAACCTCCAGGGGGACTCACATTCTCACTACTTGCAGATAATGGTGGGTATCACAGTTTGGTTTACTAGAAGAATCAGAGCACCCTGAAGAAAAATGCAGGCCAGGAGGCCTGAAATGGTCAGCGTTTGATACTAGGGCAATTAGTTCCTGACCACTATATACCCCCACAAAGCCCTTTTCATTTAATTCCACTCAAGCATTTTTAATCTTTAGAGAAAATGGGACTTAATATTTAAATCCATCAAACACTTTAATAGCTTTTCTGTGTAGTCAGTCATCTAAGCAAATAAAAATAGAGAATAGAGTCAATTTTTTCCCAGGACTAAAAATCACATGATCATGGATTTAAAGCTGGCAAGGTCCTTAGGGGGACAGGGAAGGAAATAAGCATTTATATAGTATGTAATACGTGCCAGGTACTGTGCTTTATAATATTATCTTAGAGGCCACTCGATAGAAGAGGAAACCGATGCTAAAAGACGTTAAATGACTTTCCCAGGGTCAAACACTTAAGTTTGAGACAGGATTGCAAAACAGATCTTTGACTCTAAGTCCAGCCCTATCCACTGTGCCACCTAACTGCCTTAAATAAAAGTCAATTGTTAATGCCAAAATTGCTCTGTGCCAGACACCACCACCCGAAAAATAACCTTATGTCAGTCAATATTGTCAAACATAAATTTTAAATTTGCTCTATAGCACTAATCAAGAAGGTTTTAATTTCTGCATCTGAGAAATACCAGCTGAGTAACATAGAAGAATTATAAAACACAGAAGAATTAACCATTTATTATCAATCAGTAACCATTCATTAGGTGCCTACTATGAGCATAGCATTGTGTTGGTCTCTGGGGATATAAAGACAAGCACAAACAAATAGACTAAGCAGTCGAGGAGCTTATATTTTATCATAAGTAGGGGGAGGTTCCCCACTGGAACCACCAAAGAATAATGTTCACATGATAGTGTTCCTCTCCCTAAACTCATTCATGAGGTATAAGTGAGAAAAGGAGGGTGAGAACAAAACATTTGTTGCTGCTATTCAGTTTGCCATTCCCTTCTCCACACACACACACACATAAACACACACACATTAGCTGTTAAAAAAGAAAAAAAAAACTTTGAGCTGGCTTAAAACATTATTTTCTTAGCCTCCCTGAAAAAAGTGCCTATGAATGTTTCTTTCATGGAGAATATAATGCATTTCTCATTTTGAAAAGGCATAAGAGCCCTTTTCAGATTTTGGCAAATTACAATTTTGATGCTAAACTGGATCACTTGATACCTTTAAAAAACAAAAATCTGACTGTCTTTTCAATGAAAGTATCAATCAGTTAGCAAACAAGCATCTGTTAAGCATTTCAGTAGATGGGTATAATGTCTTCCTCCCGGAAACTCATATAATGAATATACCTTCCCAGGGAATAAGCTGCTTAGTTTTGAGACACTCATTAAACCTTTAGGGTCAATTTATGGGTTGTCATCTAAAGTACCAGTGGACTGAGGTCATTATAGTGAGACTAGATGGCTACTTATAAGTGATATTATAGAGGGAGTTCTGGTTTAGATGTGGGTTGGATTGCATAGTCTTCAAAATCCAAGGTCTTTTCCAACTCTGAGATTTTATAATTTTATAAAAGTGTCCTGGAAGACTTAAATAAGAAGGAGTCAGGAGATTTGGTTTCTTATCCTAGCTCTTCAGCATTATTAGATATGTGATCATGGGCAAGTCATTTTACTTCTCTAAGACTGTTTCTTCATCTGTACAGTAGGAATGATATTTATATTATTTCCCTCAGAGGACGCCTGCAAAGTATGCCTTTTAAAGTGCCATATAATTGAGAATTATCATTCAGTCTAAAAGGTGAACAATTCTCTTCTCAATATCTAGTTAATTTTCATCTTTCCAATCAGTCCACCAAACAGCATTTGTTATGCCCCTACTAGGTGTTGGCAGTGTGCTAGTTACCACAAAAAGACAGACAGAGAGAGAGAGAGAGAGAGAGAGAGAGAGAGAGAGAGAGAGAGAGAGAGAGAGAGAGAGAGGAAGACAGAAAGACAGAAAGAAAGAAAAAGAAAGAAAGAAAGAAATATTTTTAAGAAGCAGTTACTTATTAAAAAATTACATTCATAGTTCCTACAATGAATGAATGAAGCACATATTAAGCACTTATTGTGTGCAAAGCACCAGAGATACAAAAAAGTAAAACATTTCCTCTTCTCAAAGAGGGTACATTCTAATGAGGAAGCCACACATTTGGAAGGCTTCAGCTTTAAATCAAATGGAAAAGTCCCATGCTACCTAGAGTGCAATGACAAAGATATCTTTGTTTTTGCAAAATAAAAAATGTATGAAAAAAATGAAATTTAATAACTGATCTATAATTGATCTATAACTGTCCATATGGGCCTAGAATTGAATTTAGATCTATAATATCCTATTCAGTGGTTTAAATCATGTTATTTCTCTGATCCAATTGTACCTCTAATTCAACATTTATTAAGAATTTGCTCTGTGCACTGTACTAGTCTAGAGATTGGAGGGGAGCAGATAAAAATATAAAGAAGACATGGATTGTGCCTTCAAGAAGCTTATGGTCTGGTAGGGATCATAAGACATGTACACAATTAAACACAATGCAAATTAGAATATGCATAATACTGCAAAGTTCTCCTTTGGGAGTACTTTAGGAGTAACTCCCAAGGAGAGAATGACTTCCTACTCTGAGATACCAGAGAAGTTTTTATAAATGGAGGAAGGAATATCTTGGCTAATGGTTTATGACTAGTCTCACTGTTGAACTGCCTTAGTATGAAACTATTGTTACTGAAAGTAAGTTTTCATTGCCCCGCAATTTATCTTTCATTCTCTGGCATCTGAGAAAAAGCAGTGAAGGAGATTTCCCCAATATTTTTCCAATTTTTTTTTAATAATAGCATTTTATTTTTCCCAATTATATTTCAAGACATATGTTAGCATTCATTTTCACAAGACTGAGTTGAAAATTTCTCTTTCTCCTCCATCCCTTTCCCTTTTCCTAAAATGGCAGGAAATTTGATATAGGTTATTCATGTGCTATCAGGTAAAACATATTTTTATATTAATCACAATTGTGAAAGAAGAAACAGATCAAAAGGAAAAACAAAACATAAAAAAATAAAGTGAAAAAAATATGCTTCAGTTTGCATTCAGGGTGCATCACTTCTTTATCTGGATGTGGATAGCATTTTCCTTCATGAGTCCATTGTACTTGTCTTGGATCATTGTGTTGCTGAGAAGAGGTGAGTCATTCATAGTTGGTCATCACACAATGTTGTTGACACTGTATACTTCCTGGTTCTGCTCATTTCATTTTGCATCAGTTCATACATGTCTTTTCATATTTTTTTGAAATCTGCCTGTTCATCATTTCTTACTGTATAATGGTATTCCACTACATTTATATACCATAGCTTGTTTAGCCATTCCCCAATTGATGGGCATCTCCTCAATTTCTAATATTTTGCCACCACAAAAAGAGCTACCATAATGTTTTTGTACCTGTAGGTCCTTTTCCATTGTTTTTTATGACCTTTTCAGGATACAGATCTAGTAGTTGTATTGCTGAATCAAAAGGTATGCACAGTTTTGTTGCCCCTTGTGTACAGTTCCAAATTGCTCCAGAATGGTTGGATCAGTTCACAGCTCTACCAACAGTGCATTAGCACCCCAGTTTTCCCACATTCTCTCCAATATTTATAATTTTCCTTTTCTTTTTTTGTCATATTGGCCAACCTGATAGGTGTGAGGTTGTATCTCAGAGTTGTTTTAATTCACATTTCTCTAATCAAAGTGATTTAGAGCACTTCTCCATATGCCTATAGTTAGCTTTGATTTCTTTGTCTGAAAACTGTCCATTCATATACTTTTACCATTTATCCTTTGGGGAATGGCTTGATTCTTATAAATTCAGTTCTCTATATGTTTGAGAAATAAGGCCTTTATCAGAGATACTTGTTATAAAGATTATTTCTCAGCTTTTGTTTTTCCTTCTAATCTTGGTTGCATTGGTTTTGTTTGTGGAAAAGCTTTTTAATTTA